ATGTACATACACACTACTTGTTTCTAGAACGTACGAAAGTAGTAGTCTCCATTTTCGTAACAAGAATGTTATTCTCGCATTCACACTCTAGAGTGTACACTCTATGCTCGAAGATTTCTATGTGTAAGATTAGAATTTTGTTCATTCCCTTTCGCTCGTTAGAATAACTTCTATACGTATAAATCGAAATATAATCTTTACTTAAATTACGTATTTATCGCGTGCAATTATTATATTATATTTCTACAATTTGAATTCGATTATTTTTATAAGTCAAACTTTTATTATTGCTACTTCTATAATTATAAAGTAAATTATCTAAATCATCTATATTAAAATTATTCAATAATATCTCTTTTTTTTCAATTGTGTTAAACACAACAATTTTTATTTCAAAAATAAAAAATGAAATTTACGAATTTTTTCTTCTTTAAAGTTTTTATAAATGGAAAAACATTAAACTTTACAAAGTTTTTATATGTTAAATTTTCATTCGTTATTTTGATAAGATAAAACTTTCATACTCAACTCGAAGAATTGACCTTTTCTTTTTAAATTCGAGTTATCGAAATTCGACTTTTACTAAAATAAAAGGATTTCGAACAAAATCGACTAAGCAAATTTACGTAAGATAAAATTTTAAATATCTCGATGATATAACTTGGAAATGATAATAAGTAATATACACAAGGTTTTAATGTAAATTTTACATACTGCGCATGGTTTGATTCAAAATCGAAGAATCACCCGATAAGTAGTTTGCGAAGTAGACGCCTACTTACGCCTACCTTATGTGTGTATGGATTCGCGACAGCTACCCGTATACGGATATACTCTCGTATATCTGTATACAAGTACAAGCAGCGGTCACCTTTCGAGACTTGGCTGAAACTCTCGGCAAGGCATCGAGTCTCAGAGAAGTATACAACATGCAAGCATACTAACGTATACCCATACGAAGATAGCCCTGTGGCCATTTGCATTGAATACGCTCTTACCTACCGAGCGAATATCCCTTTTACGTAGGCAATGCCACCGCTGCCACTGCTTCTCGCCCTTTCTAACCGGTCCTTGTACCATTGTGTTTATTTTGTTTATACTCTTTAATTATACCGAATACCTATACGGCATTGAAAAACACCGATACAAAAAAATATTCTCTATCTGAAAGACAACCAAGATATTCCCTTTGTGTCCGTTATTATACACTATATTATACTGTACCATGATTCAATTCATCTATATTCTAGAGTTGGTATCTATGAATATATACAAGATATTAATATATTCGTGAGACATTTTTGGAGGGTCAATTTTAAAAATTAAAATGAACAAATGTTGATATAGAAAAATTTCGCTTGAGATTTAAATTATAAATAAATTAATAATTTAAATTCACATTAAATGAAGTGAGACGAAAACGGGGTGCAATATGATGGAGATAGAACGGTTTCACTCGATATCTAACGCAAATTTTAATTGCTTCTAATTTAATAAATAAATCTCAATTTTTGATATTTATTATATATATTATATAATTATATAATTATATATTAATATATTTTTATTTTAGCTCTTATAATCGACTTCAAAGATATTTATTATTATATTATACTCTTCAAAGATATTCTACAAATATCTTAATATTTTGTGTACATAATGTGTATATATCTTATACATATATAGAAAATCTTAGTTTCGCGTATTCCTATAATATATATTAGATCAGAAAATAAGCGTATGCCAGATATCATGTATTATCATTTTATTCTATTTTAAAATTCATAAATGGAAAATGAAAAAAAAAGTTGATAAAATTTCATAATAATAAAATATATAAAATAATAAAATATATGTTTAATTTAATTATTTTAAAAAATTTTAAATATAATAGGTAGAAATAAAAACAAATTTTAATTTTTCTTTTAAATAATTAAATAATAATAGTTAAATTATATACTACTACTTTTATTATAAATATCAGAAAATATTTATATATATAAATATCATAAAATATATATATATAAAATTTATATAGAATATAGTTTTACTGAAATAAAATAAAAAATTTAGTTTATAACTAAAAAGCTAAAATTTAATATATAACTATAACTAAAAATTTTTCTGTTAATCCAGAAATATATATCCAAGGAAAGTAAAATGTTACAATTTCCAGAATCGAAGAATATATTATCATGCAATCTAATTGCTCTATTTATGCGTGATTATCTATAAAGACAAATCTTAAAGGAGGTAATCAAAGTTTTACGAATGAAATGAATATATATCAAATAAATTCAATAGATGTAACTCGAAAACCAATTTATTTGGTTTCTTGATGAATTTTTTCTATCTTACGATAAATGTTTCGAAACGAAACGTTCGTAACGGTTCTACTTTAACGAAGAATGGTCACAGGTTGTTGCGATCATTCGAGTCGTTTGCATACACCATCATTCTATCCATCTTGTAACAAGAGCTACCCCGATTTTGAAGTAGTCGTCTCGCGCAGATGGTGCTACTCCCGCACGGTCTAACAGGCATAGTCGTTTGTCTCGTTCGTACACGTGTAGCATGAAGGGAACGCGCGCCTGCTGCTCTCATTAGTTGGTTCCTGCGGCACGCGAAAAAGCCTGAGGGGTTATATGACCGGCAGGGGTGAGAATAGCAAAAAAGACGGCTGGGGTGAGACGGGAGATCCAAGAACCCTTCAATTCTTTCGCTCCAGATCTAGCGTCCGTTAATTGGAGGTTGTTTGACTACGCACGAACTTCACCCTCCTCTCCCTTCCCAATTTCTTCTTTCTGAGTTTGTACGGTCTTTCATAGTTTTTCAACGCCCCTCCCTAGTTATCGCTCTTTCTTTCTCCCGCCATCTATCAACCTTCATTCGAACCAAAATTTATTATTACCTACGCATCGGCCATCTGGTGGTCGCTAGTAATGGTAAATCATTTCGGTGATTGTAGAGTAATCGAACAAGTAATCGAACAATAAAAAATTTCAATTCTTTGTTTGTAACTAGACGTTATTTAGCTATGGAGTTAGATTTGCTGTTTCTTCGATCGTTGAAAGAAAATTGATATCGCGAAAATATATATATGGAAAAATGGAATGAATGAAAAAGAAGGAAAAGTCGGAAAAGTGTTAAAAAGTAGATGAAAAGCTGTTCAAACTCTACCACACGTAGTGTAGAATTGTTTGTATGGTGCTAACGATGAACAAACAGAGCGGAACGGCTTAGCCGATACACCGACTATGTCGCGTGACTCATCATCATTCGACTGGAGACCGAAACGATCAAAGAGAAAGGACTAGGATGAGTTTACGAGCGTGGTATCCTGCAATCTCATGATTCATCTTCTACTTTTAATTAATTGTTTTATACGAATTATTTATTTCGTTTCTGTTTTTCAATATATTTAAAATATAATTTATCTTTTCTGTTAATAGAAATTTGTTTTACGTATGAACAAATTTCAAATAATAATAAAAAAATCTGATAAACTAATATTATATTCTGAATACTGCACTTTTATTTATCATAAAATAAAGATGAAAGTTCCAAGTTCCTCAATAGTCGATCGAATATAAAATTTGGAGGAGTGTTAAGAAGAAAAGGAGGTACAGACATAAATATGAAATTTCAACTTTGTATATTCTCTATTTTCTCTAATTTCTGAGATATTAATAAAAAACTTTCAGACTATACATTGAATTCTGCTTATATAAATGCAACTAATATAATCGTTTTCGCTGTAGAAGTCTATCTAATATTTTATCTAATATTTTATCTAGTCAAACTTGTTATATTAATAAAATATCACATGTAAAACTTTCAGTTTCTTTCAAAAATCGTAAATATTGGCGACCTCCTTAGAGAGACTTTTAATTCCAATCCAATACTCATTACGGGATCGATTCTATTCGAAACGTGCTTAAAATAGCAATTGTCACATTTGCATATCAAATGATTTTACTTGCAAATTAGTATTTTTTTTATTCTTACGTAAAACATTGTATCTGGTTTGTAAGTTAAATGTGTTTAATTTTTTAAGAATGAGTAATCAAATTTTTGAATTGTAAATATTATATAATAGATATTAAAGCTAATGCAATTACATATTATCGGTTACTTAATAATCGATAACGATTACAAGTACAGTAAAAATTGTTGTATTTAATTGTTAATAATATTTGAATTATTATAGGCAATCTATGTACGCAACTTTCAATGTATAACATCGAAATTTTTTATTATTATCTCAGAAATCAAATAGATATCGGAAATTAAAATTTTAAGTTCTTTCTGAATTATCACTTTTCCAAATTTTATATCGATTGACATTTTTGGAACTATATTTATTTAAAATAAGATTGTTTTATTAAAATGTTTTTCATGGAGTAATAAAAATAAACATAAAATTAGTTTCATTGCATTATTTAAAGAAAAATAAAGATAAATTTATTTTTAAATTGTTTAATTGTGTAATTATTTTACAGTAATTTAAAAATATTTTGTAGACATGATATTTTTCATTTAATTGAAAGTAAAAATATTTTATTTTTCAAGTGTTGTTTGCTGAGTTGCTTCTCAAGTTTTTCATAAAGTTTACAGAAGAATCTCACAAAATCAAGCACCATAAATTTAAAATATTATTTTCGAAATTAAATAAGATAAATGTCTTATACTTTTAATTAGAATAAATAAATTAATATTTAAAATTTATTTTAAAAATTGATTATCTTTAATATGATAGTATTATTTTCTTTTCTTTATTTTCTTTAATTTTCATGTAAATCGTATTATAATTTTAAAAAAATATGTATTTCATTTCAAAATAATAATTTTTGTTTTCTAATACGATTAATCGTTAGAAAAATAATTTACGGGAAAATATTAAATGTAAAAATGTAACATTATTGAATTATAAATTTCGTAAATGAAAATCTCTATAATCTATTTAACTGAACAATTATCTCATCTATTATTTGTTACAGTGTTGAGAGATGAATTTCGTGCAGAACCCCAAAACACAAGAGTTGCAGCCGGAGAGACTGCATTATTAGAGTGTGGTCCGCCCAGAGGTCATCCAGAGCCAACATTACATTGGAAAAGAAATGGTCACACGATAGATTTGGAAACTACTAAACGGTAATATGCATTCTATTTAATTGGAATTAATAATGAAAAAAAATAATAATAATATTGAGAAGTTCTTCTAATATTAAATTTAATAAATTTTTATTAATTGATTATTGTATATTATCTATATTAAATAAAATTGAATTGAATAAATATATCTATCATTTATACAAAGTAAACAAAATAATAAATATTTAATTACTTTAATATATTTAATTACTTGAAATATTTCACTCATTTATAATGATATTAAATGTGAAACAAAAGGTAAATGATTTCAAAGAGTGTATATTTTGATATTATTAGTTTGTTCGTAAGATAATATATAAAGGACTTATACATATTTTTTAAATGAATAATTTTTTTAGATCGATACAACTCACTATTTCTTATAATAAAATATTTTTAATAATTTGAAATAATTTGAAATAAAATATTAAACGTTAAATATTTCAAAGCAAATATTATTTGAAAATACTATTTTGTTTAATATTTAAATCACAAGTAAATATTATTTATTATTTATTATTTACTATTTATTATTACATTATTGAAAGTAAAATACATAAATGATGATACAAAAAATAAAAATTTAAAATTAATTCGAATATTTTGTTATACATTATTGTGATTTTAATACATTATATCTTATTATAAAGTTAAATTGATTAGAAATTGATTATTCAAAATATTTCTTTATAAATACTATTTCAATAAAAAATTTATTCGCAAAATCTTGTTTTATTATTATTCAAAGAAATAAAAGTATTCATTTTTATTTATTTATTTGAAAGATCTATTTTTTCCAATTCTAAATTGGAAAATCCAATCCATACGTATATATCGAAAAATCATTAATTTAAAAAGTATTTTAATTCAAATTTTGATTGAAAAAACATTTACTAAAAAATAAAAAAAATAATTATTATATGAAAAATAAAGAAAATACAAAATGATATTTTGCTGTTTTTGTTGTAATAAATTTATAAAATTCAAATATTTTCTAAACCATTTTTTCACGTAACTAATACTTTTTATAGGAAATAATATGTTATGTTGACAAATGCATGAAAAATTATGTGATTCTTAAAGAACAATATGATATTTATTATATATAATTATGTGATATTTAAAGAACAAAGTTGATTTGTAAAAATTTTTTACATATCAATTTAAGAAAAGAATAATATAAATATTAAAATATACATCTTTTGAAACCATTCAATTTTTATCTGAAACATTTTTTTTATATTATTGAAACGAGCGAAATTATTTTATATACATATTAACATGTTTATTTTTAATTTTAATAATATTAATAATATAATAATTTATTTTTAATTTTTAATAATACAAAAAAAATTTTTAAATAAAAATTGTAGAAAGAGATATAATTTAATGTTCAATTTTTTTAAATGTAAAAATCATGTGAAAATCAAGCTTACTTTTTTAAGTAGATTTATATAATTTTTAATGTAGTAATTTATGGGATATATTATTAGTTTTAAAAAAATATTAATCTATTTTTGAAAAAAAATTCAATTTAGGAAATATTTTAATTGATCAATAATCAATCTTGTAAAAATTATTGTTTGAAAGAAGGAAAATGAAGATATACGTATAAATTTACAATTTGATAAATAATAATATTGATTGCTATTCTTCATTCCTCATTACTAGTAATGCCATTATTTCTGTTCATAAGATGTTAACGATTTTCAATAATTCAAATTATAACATTATCAATTGTATTTTCGTTTTAAAATGCATATTCGCGTATTTTGTCTTTCATATGATAAATTTTACAGAGTTAAAATAAGTTAAACCGATAATTTTTTATTGAAAATAGATATATAAACAAAATAAATGTGCATATAATTATTAAAAATAGTTTAATATTAATATTAAAATATATACATTTTTCGAAATTATTGAAAATTATATGATTCCATTTAAAAAGAAAATATAATTGACCTACATACAATATCTGTATGGCAGTTCTCTCCTTTCTATATTCTATTCAAGTTTTATCTAAAACATTTTTCCTGTCAGTAAAACTAACTAATATATTCAAACTAATATATTCAAATTATTTCGTTCACCTCGTATTTATTTTATTTTAAATTTTAAATATTATAAAATTATATTATATCATCTATATTATATCAATTATATCATATATTTAAAATTTCCGGATATTGTTTTGTTATAGTATCACTTTGGTTGATGGAGGAAATTTGATGATTTCGGATGTTCGGCAAACGGATCAAGGAAAATATCAATGCGTTGCTGAGAACATGGTAGGCGTGAAAGAATCTGCCGTGGCAACATTAACAGTTCACGGTGAGTAAACATCTGTTTAAATAAAATAGTGTATTAATATATTCGTAGCTATGATATTAATATATTTCGGGATATTTTTGGAGAATTTAATTTTGGAGAATTGATTTTAGAAATCAAAACAAACACAAAAATACATAAAATAGTTTTATTTATTAAATTATAAATAATTTAAATTCGCGTTGATGAAAATATCAATGCGTTGCTAAAAACATGATAGGCGTGAAAGAGAATAGAATACGATAAAGATATAACGGAGACAAAGAAGTCTTTATTCTATTTATTACTCTCATTTCATCTAAAGTAAACATTATTTATAATAATAACATTATATATATTATAACGTTATTTATAATAATAAATGAACTTTAATTTTTATATATCAATTCTTATATTTGTTTTAATCGCTAGAATTCTCCAAATTACATTCTATATAACATAAAAATAAATAGATTTATATATTTTTAGACATATGTAGATTTATATTTTTCTATTTGCTTTTTTTCATTAGTGAAACCATTTTTCTTGTCAACTCCTGCGAATCAAACGATCTTAGCGGACCAGACTGCTGAATTCGCCTGCCGCGTGGGCGGCGATCCTCCGCCCGAGATTCTTTGGCGACGAAACGACGGGAAAATGCCAATTGGACGAGCACATATTTTGGACGATAAAAGTTTACGGATCGAAAGAGTGACATCACAGGATCAAGGAACGTATATTTGCGATGCTGAAAATGGTGTCGGTGCCATATCAGCGAGTGCAACTTTGACAGTACATTGTGAGCAAAAAATTTATAGTATTCCTTTCTTTCCTTTGTTTCATTTCTTTTTTTTCATTTTTTTTCTGCTTTTTATTCACACTCTTTCATTTTCCAGCGAGACCAGTATTCAGCAGTTTTCCAAAAGACGAGATAGTCAGCGTCGGATCAAATGTTTCGTTTTCCTGTGCGGCTCGTGGTGCACCAAAGCCTTCGATCTTTTGGACTCGGGAAGGTTCTCAAGAATTGATGTTCCCTGGAAATGAATATCAAAGTCGTTACAAAATCACAGATGATGGAAGTTTGTATATAAAGGGTGTCCTTGGAAAAGACGAAGGACACTACGTCTGCAGCGCAATCAGTCAAGCTGGTGCGAGCACAGCTACGGTTTTTCTTCAGGTATTATTTCAACAAATTGAATACTTTGATATATAATTCATTATCGTTAATCGTATTGATCCAATATTCAATTTTCTATTTTTGATATTCGCCAGGTCATGATAATTGATATAAAATATTCATTAGGTTACATCGGTTGAAGAAGTTCCACCACCTGTAATCGAGATCGGACCTACGAATCAAACATTGCCTCCGAAGAGTGATATTTCTATGCCATGTCGTGTATTTGGACGACCTATTCCAAAAATCCGATGGTATAAAGAGGACGAACTTGTACGGATCGGTAGCGATAATAAATTTACAATCGCTAGCAACGGCACTCTTTCTATAAAAAATCTTCAATTAAGCGACAGTGGAATATATAAATGCGTTGCATCTTCCGAATCTGGGAATACTTCATGGATAGCTAGTTTAACGATTAGTCCCGGAGCAAATTATCATAGCATCATACCAGATGTATCAGCACTTCCCGAAAGTCCAAGTAAACCAAGAATAGTAAATACTACTAGTAGTACGGTCACGCTCACTTGGAGTCCAGGACACGAAGGTGCTAGCAAGATAATCGATTATACAGTTGAATATTTTGCTACAAATCCAAAGACCAGCTGGATCGTCGCTGGAACAGAAATAACAGATGATATTTATACTGTAAGAATATGCATGTATTAAGTTATCCAATAAGTAATATCGTTTTAAAAATCTAATGATAGAATTGGAATTGAATTAAAATTTTCCTTTTAGAATTTGTCTAAATTTATCCTATATTATATATATTTTTTATAAGAAAATATTTATTCTTTCTATGAAATTATTATGAAAAGAAATGAGAATTTTTTTAATATTAGATAAAATTTTTTTAAATTTTTATTTTTTATAATATAAGAAATTCTTTTCATATAAAAAAATTTCTATAATTGTTGTTGAAAAGAATCATTTAAAATAATATATAATATATATATTATTATATAATAATAATATAATAATAATATATAATATTAATATAATATCATATTTAAAATAAAATCAAATTACTAAAATTGTAATTTAAAAAAATTAAATATAAAAGATAATATATATAAACAAACAATTGTTATTAGAAAATTACAAATAAGTTTATCTATATAATAATAATGTATAAAAGTAAAGGCAATAATAGAAAAAATTAAACAATGTAAGTGATATTAATCCATTTAAGCATATTTTTTTTAATTGAGTATCAAAACATTATTATCTATTTTTATATTGTAAAATTTTCTTAACAATAAAATCTTTAAAAATATAGATTACAAAATTAACATTGGATAAACTTAGAGAAGAGAAATTTGATTGAAAGTTATTTCAATCACAAAAAATAATCTTTCCAAATAATAATTCATTGATTAAAAATATATATAAGTAAATATTATTATTTTTTTATTGAAATTAAATTTTTAAAATGATATTGCTTGTACTTGTAACCATACTTATATATTTATAATAGCAATAATATAGATATACATATATTAGATTTAAAAAAAACAATTCTGTCTTCTTATCTCAATTAATTACAATAACGTAATCTTATTTTTTATAGGTAACAAATCTCACACCTGATACGAGTTACGTATTCCTTGTTCGTGCTCGAAATAGTCAAGGTCTTTCTGTTCCTGGTCCATTCTCGGACGTTGCACGTACTACAAATCTTGATCAACACGCGATTCCTCAAACTGAATTGATTCGCGCAAGAGATCGTCTCAACAGTGAGATTCTTTACTTGAAGGATGTTCAGCCTTTAAGTAGCACAAGTGTGAAAATTGTTTGGGACGTAAGTAAATATGTGTTAAAATGATTGTTGAAATATTGAAACTATACGTGTTGTTTGTCGAAAGTTTGTTAAAATATTCACATTCTCAAATCTTGCATCTTTTTTTAATATTGAGATTAATTTTTTTCGATGTTATATTTGTCCTATAAACATTTAGATACTTGGAGCAGCTGATCTGGTTGAAGGATTGTATATAAGATACCGTGAAGTATCCGAGAAACCGGAATATCGAATGGTCACTGTGCTGAACGCCGGAGCAACTAGTTACGTGTTGACCAACCTAAACAAATACACACGTTACGAGTTTTTTCTAGTTCCTTTTTTCAAGACTATTGAAGGGAGGCCGAGCAATGTAAAACTAGCGACTACACTAGAAGATATACCTTCTGGGGCGCCCGAAAATGTTCATGTCGGAATGATAAATATTACATCAGCATTCGTTCGTTGGTCTCCTCCACCGAAAAGCACACAAAACGGACAATTACTAGGATATAAGGTAAAATAATGAATGGAATGTTAGATTTTCTTTTTTATTTTCAATTATTTGTTATATAGTATATTCTTTTATGCTTTTCTGTCAATCGAATTGAAATTATTTTTTTTCGCCAGATTCAAATCAAGAGCAATAGTAGTAACAAGATTTTGGGACAGATGTCTTTAAATGCATCGACGACGTCAGTGATTATCAACAGTTTGACGACAGGTGGTCTTTATACGGCACGTGTTGCCGGATATACTCGCGTGGGTCAAGGACCGTTTTCCAATCCAACTATTTTAAATATGGATCCAGGACAATTAACACAGTTGCCACCACGAACGGATCCAAGTCAAAGAAATGCTTCTGTTGTTAGTGAAACCTGGTTTTTGATTTTAATGATAACAGTCGTGTTAACCGTTATTGCCGCTTTATTGGGCGCCGTTTACGTTAGACGAAGACAAGCGATGAGTAAACAACTCGGTCATTTGAACGTTCCTGTTGGTACAGCTAATGACATTTGTCAATTGAATAAAGATACTCTGTGGCTGGAGCGTGGTTGGAGACCTACTAATACTCTCCAAGCATCCTCCACTGATAAGGATTGCGAAACGAAACTATTGAGTAATCAAAATCAAATTGGTCTCCCACCTGGAATCGTTGGAATGACTGGCTCAGAATATGCTGAAGTTAATTTAACAACATTTTACAATACTCGAAAACAATTGCAAGCGCCACCAGAACCATACGCAACGACTACACTTTGCATGCCTGCTCGTAGTCCAGATTCGGTAGAAACCACTGGTCGAAAATCGAATTCGAGTGATTCCTGTCTCAAGCCCGATTATTCCAGTTTAGATTCAAATTTAGATAGAAACAAATCAACCGTGTCTCCGAGCAGCGACAATGCAAGTAGCGTTTATAATGCAGATGATAATACCGAAGCACAAAGAAGAGCGGGTCATCAATATAGAATGCCGTTACCAAATGAGAATCAACCTCCAAATTGGTGCGATATGCTACCACCACCACCAGAACATCCACCCTCGTTCGAAGGATCGCTCGGTTCCTCCAGAACACATTCGCATACGCATCATCAACACCAACATCAATATCAATACCATCATCACCATCATCCGCATCAAATTCAACATCAATATCAGCATCAGCATCATTATCAGCATCAACAGCAACAGCAACAACAACAACAATATCAACATCAAACTGCATTTAGTCCTCATCTAGGGAAGAGAAGTATTGAAAGGCAAAATGATTTAGATCTAATGGCGGGTGCAGGACTAGCTTTGGGATTAGGTTTAAATACGAGCTCGAATTCAGGTTCTGGCTCTGGTTTAGGTTCTGGAAGTGCAGGCGGAGGTGGTGGAGGTGGTGGTGGCGGTGGTAGTGGTAGTGGCGGCGGTGGATCTGGTTCCGGTTCTGGATCGAGAAATTCACAAAGTCCGCCTAGTCCACCAACTAGAGTAATGAACAATTTAGGAGGCTCGGATACAATTTGGAATAGTTCGGGTCAACAATCGCAATCTTTCGAAAATTCACAAAACAACGTTCATCAGCAGAGTAGATATACGAGTTTGCCCCCACAAACGAATCCACCAGCACTGCCTATATTTCCACAGTCATTCGATTGTTACGAATCGTATAAAGGAAATCAAGAAAACGAATATGAAAGTGGTTCTCTTTTGTATGGTCAACGAAATGATTCGCCATTAGAAGATTACGATTCTACATATAGTCATGTAAATCGAGCGGATTCTCGATCGGAACGATCGATGGCAAATGAAGAAATCTATCGACGAAACGATGAAGATAACTATCCGACGGAAAATCATTATCAGCCCGAGAATGATGAATGGGATAGAAAGTCTTGCGATTCAAACGCACACTCGGATATTTGTTGTTCCTGTTCAGAATCTAGTTGCCTCTATGGGAACACAATCGACTACAACGATCAATTCGCTTCGTCATCAGTGAATTGTCTTCATGGTAAAACAGGATCTCGAAATAGAAATGGCAGGAGCCCACGTAGAAGAAATACTAGAACTGCATCACCGACTTATAGTAGCGGTGATAGTAATTATTCCTGTATTCCCCCGAGGCAATCTGGAAGCGTTAGCTCGCAAGAAAGGTCGAGGCATAACCGTGGAAAAGGTTGGCGTTATATAAATTTATCATTATATTTTTGTCTCTCATCCTAAGATTCAATTATCGATATCTCTATTCTCTTTTATTCTCTTTCAGATAAAGTGCCTAGCTTCTCGAGAATCGGCGGCTATCCTCAGCACAATTCCTCAGCCTCGAATACAGTCAGCAGTTCTGGAAGTCAAAGATACAACAAATTGAATAACGTTTTTGTAGGTGGTGGAAATTCGAATGCTCCTATAGAGTGTAGTCGGCCGGCCGACTTTCGTGATGGCTAATTTTATGAAATGGAATCGATCCCTGGTAATATTTACCAATGTGAAATAATGTGAAACAATTGACTTCGATCGCAACGAATCGTAGCCGTCTCGCGCGACAATATCGCGAACAGTCTTAAAGTACCTTTTGCGGGCTAATTACGTCCTCAATATTTCCAAACATTAATAACTGTTAACCGTGATATTCCTTAACCCTTGTCGCGTTTTCCCTTTCTTTCTATCTATGATACGCGAACTGCTTTCATTTTATCTTTTCCTCCCGGTGGATCTATTTAATCTCATTTGCATAAGTTATGATAATTATTGAAAAGAATATAATAGCGATATCAATAACTTTGAAATATGTTGTTAAGATTAACATTTTGAATAAGTTTTCTTTATTCATATAATCATTGCTTGACCTTAGTTTCCAAGATATCAGAAAAATATTTTTTATACTGTGTAACATAAATAAATATGTACACAGTTCAAAGGAATTAACTCTAATATGTATTATAAAGATCATTCTGTTAAAAGATTAATTATTTCTATTTTTCAAAAAATGTCAATTATTAACAAAAATTTTTCATTAAAATTATGTAAATTTATATAAATTATTATATTTGGATTAAATTATACAATTACAATTTGATTTTAATGTGGATACATTTATTTATCCATGTTTTTTTAGCTTAATTAGTATTAATTTATGAAAAAATGAAATAGAAGTTTTATCTTAGATTTAGATTATCTTTTACTTAATTAGTAAAAATTATTGGTTGAATTAGATTAAATTATTACCCATGTCAATACAAAAAATAAATATTAAAAATATATATATCATAATGCATTATAATAATTTCATTCATTTATATTTTTAATGCAGTCATAAGTTCAGAAACTTATAATTAAAAATACATTTTGTGAAATGTTCTACTTTTATATTTAAGGTTTTAAGTAATTGAAACTATAGTTTTGTATATCTAATCTAATTCAAATTTAATTCAAATAAAATATCTTTGAAACTAAAGCGGATCTTTGAAACTAATACATAAAGTTATGTATACAAATAAAAGTTCTTCAAAATATTCTTAGGCAATATATTTTAAGATTATTGGAATCAATGCTATTCTTATTCCCAATAATTATCAGTTCTTTTTTTAAGTCTAGTATAAATGAATGTGAACTCTGCGTTTTGTGACTGCGCATATATGATACTTTTGCGATATTTTCGATAAATATCATAAGAAATAACGAACGATTTTTTTCAGTTATTCAATTTTTCATTTGCTCAATATATATATATATATCCACTGCCATAGAAAATATACATATTGGACGACCATAAGATTTGACACAAAAGCGGATAGGATGCAAAAACGTACGACGAGAAGGAAATGTTTATGAAATATGATCCGGCGTACACACGTGCGATGATTTTCATTAATCTAAGTGGCGTGACTTATTTTTCAGAGATTTTAGATTTTCGCCACTCAAACATTTCGCGCGATCGTATTATTTTTCGAATATAACGTTCCTAAGTGGTAAGAAAAACTCTATAACTTCGTCGCGTGAATGCGAGGCAATCGCCACGTGATTTTTCTTAAATAATACGTGTAGCTCTTAAGGGTACATGCGGCAAAAAATTATTGAAATCATGACTGATGCGCAAGAAGTATTATATCATATCGAGCAATTTTTGTATGTATGTATGTATGAATGTATGAATGTATGAATATATGCACGTGCACTTATGCACGTGTGTATATATGCGTGTACAAGCTTATTCTTTTTTTTCTTTTTTTTTTTTTTCTATAAGCAATTGAAACAGTCAAGAGTAATCATCGACCAATGTCTTTTATTACAAATCTCAAAAAAAAAAAAATCCGTATTGATCTAGATCCAATTCATTTATTCGTTCAATTCATCCAAATAAAATAAATATAAAATGTGGCATATAATCAAAATGATTCATCTATGTATGATCATTCCAATTTTAATCATATTTAAATCAAAAATGCAGATACAAAAATTAAAACAATTTTGAATAATATAAAATTTCAAATTAAATCAAGTTATATATTAGTTCGATTACTTTTTCAAATCATCTTTCAATCTATTCTTTATGTTGCGAAAAAATTCATCGAGGCAATGTAATGATAATTTTAATAATACTTAACATAAATTGAGATTAAGTAAAAGACACTTGTCGTAATAATCGCTCAAATTCATTAAAATTAGTTTATTCTTTTAAACAAAGAAAGATCGTAAGTCGGCGGTCGTTGAATGTTTATTAACAAGTGTTAGATTAAAATAGAATAACGAATACTAACACTAAACGCACTGCCGAATGTCATAATTCCGAAAGACCACGTACACCAAATGTGGAAATACGATTTGATGTAATATAGATATATGTATAAATTACTCGCGCGAGTGAAAGTTCGCAAATGAAATTGGTAAATCCGTAGCACGTATAGATACAAGTATAATCCATCCAGAAAGGTGAGAAGCAAAATAAAAAAAAAACTTATAATTAATAAATTAAAAAAAAAGGAAAAACATTCGTTTTTATAGAATGTTAACGATAAAATTCGACCGAGAGAGAAAGAGAGAGAAACGTAGCTACGTAGAACGTATATTTTAAGTATTCACCGTAATAATATCTGAACTATCTCTGATAGTCTGTTTAGATTGTACGCTGAGTTTGCCAAACTTCGTCGGACTTCAATGACTGGTAAATGGTCGTTCTATAGGCACATAGATTTTTTGGGAGAACAAACAAACACCTCCAAATCTGTATATAAATTCGCACTCGAAATTCCCCTCGATACGGGAAAATTCGATCGATAGTAGTTACTTACTTAGATACTGAAAATATTTCGCGTCCAAGATCGACAACTCGTGATACTTTCGTTACGCGATAGAATCGCGGGTGAACGATTCTTGGCGTTATTCTGAACCATCCTATCAATTTGCAAAGCGAAAAAAGTAATGATGTTATTTTTATAGTTTCTCATATTTGCACGATTGTTACGATGGTTCATACTGTTTGTATCATATTACGCGTAACCCTCCTTCGAGTTGAACAAAAATAAAAAAGATCGCGTACGGATCGGGATTTACATATGAATTTTTTTTCCGCGTATAGTGTCCGTTTTTATTTTTAATTTTATCCTTATCACCAATAATACAACCTCGTTTTCAATTCCACGTATCATCGTTTTATTATTTTTTATCATCCTGTATCAGCGTATTGTCCATAACTTTAATTAATTTCTACGTAAATTACTCCTATGCTTATACGCTTGTTCTTGCGCTCATCTGCATTTAACCATTCAAATTATCTAACAAGGAACGGAAAATTAAAACAGAGAATGGAATGCTTGAGAAACAGATCAGTGTTTTTCCGTTTGTGAAATATAACCAAATTGAATGTAATTCTCGAACTGAATTTTGTTCATAGAAATTTTACGAAATTTTCGTAAGTGATTTATCAATCACTGCCAATAGCTGAATAGTCTCTTACGAAAATTGGACGTTTTGTTCTATGGCAGATGAAAATTATCGACGTTGTAGAATAACAAAATATTTTGTAGTCACATCGCACTAATCGTCATATCATTAACTTTTAGATCGAAAGATCTAATAAAACGTTCCGAACAAGGCGATTCGACAAGTTTTAATCTTACTTGCATTTTTTAGGTCTTACAATTAGGTCTAAATTTAAATACAAAGGCTGATAAGTGATTTAGCATAAATCTTCTTTACGTTTTGTAAATAAAGCGCATGAAAAAAACAGAAATCGTTCGTTCGTAAGCGTTTTCGTAGGCAATAACTTATTTATTATGAGACAAACGCGAGTGATTGTCCATTTTGATCATAATTGAAAAGAAAAATAATGCTAATAAAATTGATGCAGACTAGTAACATACGCATACAGGCGAACACGCGCGCACAAATGTAGATAATTTAAAAGTAATAATTATTATTGTCAAGTACTACATATACATATAAAGCGATATACGAAAACGTTACATAATATACGAGTAACGATTATTAATAAAAACAAAGAAAAAGTGACGTTGAAAATTCGTGTATTTTATTAACTTTTTTGACAATGATTCCTGACAATTTAATGAAAGAAAAAAAATTATGTACATATTTCCTCTTATCCTATTTCCTTTTATTTTAACTTAAGCTAAAGCAAAATAACAAAGAGGAAAATGAAAAATAATTTTAGAGTATCATAAAATTCATATTTAATAAGTTTATAATTTTATTATAACAAAACATAATATTTTAATAATTACTTATAATTTTGTTTCATCAATAGAATATTAAATTCTAATTCTTAATTAAGTTACATACAATTACCCGCAACCTCCCTTTCCGCAACACGTGCGTTTAGGTGGTCGATATCCTCTAGAACCATCGCCCATTAATGGATTGTATTCTATTAATGTAATTAGCAAATGTAACAATGATTGTATGAATTGATTGTTGATTTTATTTTTTATATCTTTCATTTAATTTTATCTATATTTACCTTCTCTTAATGACTTATGTTTCTTCTCTGTAAAAGGAGGTAAATCATTATTTTTCTTTCTTAGTCTAAAGTCTAAAACATTGTTGTCCGAAGTCAATTTTGATGTTTCTTTTATGTTTTCTTTTTGCTAAAATATAAAACAAATATTTTTTTTTTAATAATTAGGAAATATTTCATCATATTTAAAATCAATATTTGTAATTTACTTCTTTTCCTTTTTCTTCTGTTAACATGGCACATTTCTGATAATATTCCTCTTGCATCCTTTGTCTTGAAGCTTCCAAACCTAATAATCTTGCTTGCAAGAGATCTGGATCTATATAATAAGATTAAATATTTTTATATATATTATACTCTTTATATATTTTAGATAATAATATATATTATTTATTTACTTTTACGATATTTTGCTGCATATTCCAATTCGTCCCTTCTTAGTTTCCAATTTAAATATTTCTCTCGAATATAAGGAGATGCAAGCCAAAATGAGATTCCAATTGCAATTAAATACCACCCAATAGATGCAATAGCACTCCATACTATGAAAATTTTTAAAATATAATTATATTAAATTATATTAAATATAATTAAATTATTTTAAAAGATTCAAAGATTAAAATTTATATGAAAACATTAAATTGATTAGTTAATTTAATAATTATAATTAATAATTAACAAATCATTTTATGTAATTATATTTTTTTATTGTATATTAAAGAATAATAATAACAAGACTAAATATTTGATTAAAATCTTTTTCAACTAAATAAAAAATCTAAATTATCTAATAATAAAATCATTGTATAAAATAAATTAAATTCTTTTTCTTATTATTAATATTTACTAATAATAAGTAAAATTTAATAAAAAAGAAAAAT